GACTATTTGGAAATTAAATTTGGAAAACTTAATTGGTAATTGTTATTCTACACATCTTTTGAAAAATTTTGAAAAAAAAATCTCTGTAGCTCGAGAATTTATTACACTGGACTGTAGTCCAGTACATTTCAATTTTCAAGCATTTGAGGGGCAAACGAACAATAAACAATAATTTTATTTGCATTAATTCTTCGTTTTTCAACGATCTCCATTGTATGATGAATCTTACTGTAATATTCCGCGAAAATCCATTGGTACTGGATTTGAGTACTATTACTACTTGTCTCAAGTATTTTTTCTACTTTTGAGAAGTACAGCTCGGTACTCAGTACAAGTACTTTCAGTACTGATGATGAGTACAGTTGGTACTTGTCACCAGTGCGAATTATACTTGGAGCATAAAACTTGTATTTAGTCGATTTTCGACTTGGACCAAGTAAAAAAATTAGCTTTTCTCCAGAAACGCCTCGGTACTGAATACAAGTAGTTTTCCTACTTATCAGAAGTAATCTTTTTTTAGAGTGTATTTACCATGAAATTTTGAAAAATATCCGCCGTTCGAAATATTGCCCATGCTTTTTTAGGGATCTGTCATGTCAGTAATTACCAGCTATTAGAAGGTTTCATATAGATGATTCTGCTGGAGAGCGTATCCTCAGATTTGTCAATAGGAAAAGTCTAATAATAATTTTAAAAATTGTGATGTTAAATTAGATATAAGATGGAGTCGTTGATTCAATTTCTGATTTACATTGAGAATTCAAAAAAAAAATTCAAAAAAGACTTGAAGACTCACATGTGTTTCGCAAATTGAGTATAAAATCAAATTGAATTTTCATCCTTTTCAGCAATTTGTTTTTATTCCATTTCACCGTATGCCTTTTGGTTTTTACGATTTCTTTATTCCTTCATCCCATTTTTTCCACATATTTTTTTTTCCTAAATGCTCTTTCCAGTTTTTCCAAACAATGTTTCTTTCCTGAGGTGTTCCCGCGCGGTCATCCATCCATCTAGTGACCACGCTCAGCGTTGCTTACCTTCCCAAAGCTAAGCCTGCCCACCATCGCAATGCGCTAGCCCCGCAGGACTCCTTTTCAGCAATTTCCGTTGCGATATGAAATACAAAAAAAAAATGAATTAAAAAAAACGATTTTTCAATAAGAAAATATATGAAATTTCTTATTAATTATTTGTTGTTAAATCTTTTAAAAAAGTTTATTTGATATTTCAGGTGCGGTTTTCTATTAGTGGAAGAATATTATCTTGCTCCGGCCGCACAGAACGTTCATAGGAAGAAACTCGGATACTCCCAGAATCGAGGTATGTAAATCCAACGAAAATATCAGTATCAATATACCCACGGAAATCACTCATTTGAACTGACCAAAACTTTTTACTAGAAATTTACCTACTCTTGCAATAATATTTTTGTTGCAGATAATAGACTCATATATTTATTATAATAGAAATGTCTCAATTATCTGAGATAAATAATTCAATTCATTCTAAATAAATCCTCCATTAACCCTCCTCAACTGGTGCTCACTCGCCGGCCGAGTCAACTGGCTCGGTTAGCACAGGGCCGCCCGTGTTATTTTACCACTTGTGAAAAAAAAAGTTTGAAGAAAAATGATTAATTTTGGGTTTAGAGGAAGGTTTCAACTTTTAATGAATAGGAAATGGTAATACAACTAGGAAAAAAGTTGATTTGATTTCGTACCGAAATGGGATTTGCAGAGGTTAAACATGTGGATTCAAAGCCATTCGAATTTTCAAATTTTTTTGATATTCAATCGATGTGAGTATAAACGCAATAAAAATAGCCAATAAATTCAATATAGACAAAAAGAGGCATTGTAATTTTTCCAGATTTTTATTGATTCTCATTTCATTGAAAAAAGAAAAATTTGAAAACGGGCGGCGCGGTGCTCATTGAGCCAGTTCAGGAGGGTTAAAATTAAATAAAGATCCAATTAAAGAATTATTACAATTTATTGTCATCGCCGTGGAAACAATTACGTTATTTCTGACTGATAAAGTATTCATTTCGATCAAAGAAATATCCGTTTTTTATTTCAGACCCTGTTGATTTGATTTGAATAAAAACGTAAATAAGAATCAACTTTACCTTTGAATAAAAGCTTCATTACGAGTTATTTCAATAAACCCATTTATTTGATTCAAATGAACCATTCCACTAAGTATAGGGTCTAATGCTGACATGCTGAAAACACCGCGTCATTACTTTTAATGAACCGCCTTCAGTCTTCATTTTGCATCACTTGAGGATTTCAACTAACATTTCTTATTGTTGTTTCATTTCCATACTCACCAAATTAGCAGTGATTTAACCCTAGTTTGGTCACCATATGAGGCAAACACCTCATAGAACAGAACGTCGTTTTTGTTTTCTTACTTATATTGATAAATATTTAAATATACTCATCAACACTTAAAAATCATATAATATTGATGATGAATTAAATATTTGATATTAGAAAGAAAGAAATTAGAATGGAGCGGCTAGGCGCATGAAGCGCCCTATTCCACCTAAATCTATGAAGATCTATTGTAGCAGCCGCTTGATCAAGACTTTGAATGGTTAGATCATCACCATTCTCCCCGACCGGGAATCGAACCCGAAATCTCTCGCATGTAAGGCAGCCTTCTTACCCACTGCGCCACGCCGTCGGTAATATATTTGTGAATATTTCTAATTTCCTAAACGGGATTATCGATTAACTAAATAATCGGCAATCTTCCTACCTAAATTATTATTGATAAAATAGTTTAAAATTTGAATTGATGATTGAGTAAATGCTTCAAAGTTTAACAGCGATGTTAAATAATTGACCTATCCCTGTCAGTGGCATGTCCCTGGAAATCAAAACTTTTTTCTGTATTTTAACATTTTCGTCTAATGCTACTAGTTCCCGAGATATTGCAACAGTAGTCTATGAATAGGTATTGGATGTACCCAGTCCTTCACAACTGAAGGCATCCCTCCAGATCGAACAAGTTTCCCCCAATTAAAAAAATCATTCTTGTTCTTCAACAAGATATTTCCAACCTCTTTGCCCTACATATTTTTATGACGCGATAATGTTGGACTCCCGCCAGATATTTAATTTCGATAAGAGAGCAACATCAAGATTCTTGTCGGCAGTGTATAACCCCCATGTTACCACTGAGTAATTCATCGCTCACGTCCTGATGCATTCTTTTACATTTCTTCCCCTTTCTGAGCTCCTTATCGCGGGACTTAATAAAGTACGATGGCCGGGCGTTAATTATGGCGCCTGCGGGTATTACGAAAGCGATCTTTCATTATTGTAATCGTTCTCCTCATTTCTTTTTTAACTATCCCGTCTCCGTACTTTAGTTTCAGCATTATTACTCCCATTGAATGGAATCGATGAGTCGATTGTCATTATTCCTCTCGACTTTCATCCGTGAAATTCCAACGGAATGAGGATCATGAAAATTGCCAAACGACTCCAGAAACTATAGATATATCGAAAGTGCTTGAGTTGAAACGAAATAGCCTCGTCTTTGAAAGTTCTTTTTCAGACTATATGGAGAGCAAACTCTAGCAATTTCCGGCGGGAAATTTGGGAAAAACTTCTAGTGCTGCTCAGTGATAGAAAAGATGGAAGGAATTAGTTTTTCTTAACGAGGCTTCTTAATTATTAATGCGATGAACTGTTAATGAATGGTGTTAATATTGAAGAAGCCTCGTTAACACAAACTAAATCCTTCTACCAGTGGATTACACGGAGAAAAATATTTATTTTTTCGAAGAAGAAAATCGAAAAAAAATCTAAAATATCAAACAATTTTTGGTCACAAACCCTTTCTTCAAACAACGAGAATTCAGTCATACTCAACTGAAATCGTTTTCATGTCATTAGGCCCGATAAACCGCGATTCTAACCTCGCTTCGCTCGGTTAGATCGCGGTTTTCGGGCCCAACGACATAAAATATCGTATGTCACACGGCGATAAAAGCATTATCTGACGAATGAGATTATAATCATCCACCTCGCCTTCGGCTCGGATTATAAAGCCACATTCGCCAGATAATACTTTTATCGTCTGATGACATAATATACTATTTTACGATGAAAGAGTGAAAACTGTAAATTCCTATGCGGAATAGACGAATCGGGAAGTTCGTGGTGGGACCCCAATCGGTCACACTTACACTCAAAAAAGAAGTCTCATTTTGAGACTTATGATCTTAAATTCAGATTTTCAAATGTTTCGAATTGAAACTTTCAAAAGTCTCACGTTGAGATAGGGGAGGGTGTGCCTGTACCGCCTACCTAAGGGGAAATGCCAGTTTTATATTTTATATTTCAACTTGAGTATAAAAAACGTATTTGTGAGACTTCTTTAAATATTGAACTCATTATTCCGGAAGTGTAGACGCCTAATTCTCCTTAGAATCCACAAAATTAATTGAAAATAGAAGAGCCTATTGAGCGGTACTAGCCGCCGTCGGGTAATACCGCTCGGCACGTTTCCAATGCCGCTCATAGGGTTATGCGTGTATCGCTCGCATCGCAGCCTAACCGGTACTCGAGTGCTGTCGAGCAACTACGTTGCCGATTCTATGAGCGGTATTACCGGCTCCGGTCGGCGTCAACAAAATTGTTGATAATTATTGACATGAGTGGAGTTTTGAGTTCGAATTGATCTCAAATTACGCGTGAAAGTACCACGAATCGAATAACCACAGTTTAATATGAGAATTCAGCGTTTGAAACTATCAAAAACCTCAATTAAAAGTCCACAAATTTTGCACTGTAAAGACCTCAAAACTTCGTTACGTGTTTTTTCATATTTAAAGTGGTAAATAAAGTAAAATTTTTCCGCCAATCACACCCTATCATCAAATTCTTCATGATCAGGAACAGAAAGAAATTTTCAAGTTGATGGTTGTGGAGAAAATCGGGTGAGCGGTATTACCCGCTGAGCGGTACAGGTACACCCTCCCCTATTCAACAGTCTTAAATTGAAATTTTCAAAAGCCTTAAGTTGATACTTTCAAAGGTCTTAAGTTGATATTTTCAAAGGCCAAAGGTCTTTGAAAAATCTCAAATTGAAAGTGTTAGAAGGCTCAAGCTGAGACCTAAAAATCGCAAATTGAGACTTTCAAAACTCACCCGAGTGGAAATTGCCTCAGGTCCATCGGAAGTACGATCAGTACTTGATCCAGCTTTGATAAGGTTCGACTGATCTGGTGATTTCTGATGAGAACCTGACCACGTTTTGATGTAGTAGATCGTATCCTAAAAACTGCAGGCGAGTTTAGATCAAGTTCGGATCAGGTAGATATGATCTCAGTTTGAGGTTTGGCTGCCTAAACCCAATTATTATATCACTTTCTGATCAATCCTCAGGCCTGATCTGCCCCAGTCTTGACTTAGATCTGACTAAAACTTTCATTCGGTTCCACTCGCAGAAAAATTTCAAGTTGTATTCCGAAAGTATTAATTTGAAGCATTCACAAATATTAACTTAACTCTATGAAATTCTCAAATTGAAACCTTCAAGTTTCCAATTAACACCTTCCAAAATTTGAATGCGAGACTTTCGAACGGCTTAAATTGAGATCTCAAAGCCTCAAATTGAGTCTTTCGAAACTTTTAACTTAAGACTTTCAGGCTTCAAATTGAAACTTGGAAGTCTTATTTTAGGACATTGGAATGTTTAAAATAAGGTAGGGGAGGGTAGGGCAAAATAGACTGCAGGGCAAAACGGACCCCTAGGGCAAAACGGACCACTGACAGAAAATTGATAATTTTTGTTTTTGCTTCCGAATTGGGCAAATTCGAAGTCATTTGTGGTTTGAGGTAATTAGCAAATCTGATCAAATTGCGATTCAACGACACTTGTACTATAAGACCCCTGTGACGGTTACGATCCAAGAAACTCACTTTTAATTCAAGGAACACCTTCAGTGTTCCTGGTTTGAGGGAAAGAAAAAAAAAGCCAATTGCCAATTTTCTGTCAGTGGCCCGTTTTGCCCTAGGGGTCCGTTACCCTCCCCTATTTCTTTAACCCATAGTCACCCACGCACCCACTTTGGGGAGCGAGCCCAACCCACCCGTCACGGGAGCGAGCGTTGCGAGCGACCAACAAACCACCCCACTAGTTTCCTGTGAATTGCCAGCGCAAGGTAATTTGCGATTACAATTGTGAATGGCCACGAATCGTTTTACGGACGACAGAACCATTCCCCTCAAATATTGACTCACGGTGGAACTTATGGATGATATAAGCCCCGAGTAAAAGTTAACGTCCGAATGTTAAAC